CATCCTTGAGTGTTTGAAAATGAATGGTATAATAGGCTAAAAAAAATTATGGTAAAACCCAATTGCAAAAATAAGTCTAGATTAAAAGATAAAATATTCTAGACAAAATTAGGTGTCTACATATATTTTAAAAAAGGAAAAAGGTAAAAAAGGAAAAGAAGAAAAATTGGTATAAGTGAGTCCTACAAATAAAAAATAAAATCTTTAAAAACATTTTTATAATTTTAAACAATTTATTAAATATTAAAAAATAAAAAGAATGAAAAAGTAAAAAAACAAAAAAAGCCAAAAATAAAAAATAAAAAAACTGACGCTTGTAACTGTACATTTGCAGCATTTATGCAATATATTAGACTTAGGTAACTGTTCAAATTGTATGTGTTATTATTCATTCAACCAACAAAGCATACAACTTGTGTGCACCAATTAAGTTTAGGGCATATGCAATCCTTAATATTATTACGATCAAGAGACTATATGCAATCCCTAATATTATTAGACTTTAGAACCTCTCATTTTGGAACAAGATTTGACATTAGATTTAAGGCTACAATCCTTTATCGGCCTTAGAGAAATTGTTCCTAATGGCATATTATAATTAATGTGATTTTATGATTTTCGTCACATGGCTTGTTTGGTTAGAGACTTATAATTTCTTCTATATATATACATATATATAATATAATATATGAATGATCAATTTACATAATATAAATTTTTTTCGTTTTACATATTTTTTAAACCATTTTTTTTCATAGATCCAGGAAATAAAATTAAATCATTTAAAAAATTTTTACTTGTCTATCTTATCTCTTGAATTTACTAAAATTAAATGTTAGAAAAAATATATAAAATTAAAATAATTTTATGCTATATAAGTAGATCCCTCATCATATATATATATATTTATATTTATATATATTTCATTGTTTCTTTCTTCTATGTTAAGATAGAAAAACTATGTTAGATATTAATTAAAATTGGGATAATGTGCTATCTAACCATTGAATTATTACAAAATATCTAATATGGTACTTAAATTAAAAGATTAAATGTAAAAATGACTCTTGTATTATATAATTTCTGTTAGTTTAGTACCTAAAAACATAAAATTATCATTTTAGTACTTAAACTTTCATTTCATCATCCGATTTGGTATCTCGAACTAATGTCTTTAGCTAACTTATTGATGTGATATAAACATCTAATAAGATACTAACACGTGTCAAAAAGTTTAATCAATGTCAAATCATCAATTGTCACGTCAATATTAAAAAAAATTTTGAAAAAGTTTTTAAAAATTCTAAATAACTTTTTTTTAAAAAAATTGAAATATTTTTAAAAATTATCAAAATATGAAAATTAAAAAATTAAAAAATCTAAAAATTTTAATAAAAATCATAAAAATTTAAAAATTTTAAATTTAATAAAAATAAAATTTTCTCAAAATTCAAAAAAGATTCACAAAAGTTAAAAAAATTAAAAATAAAAAAAAATCAAAACTTTTTTGAAAAATTTTAAAAAATTAAAAATTTTTATGAAAAATTAAAAAATTTAAAAATTTTGAAACATTTAAAAAATTTATAAAAACTAAAAATATTTTTCTAGAAAATAAAAAATAAAATCTTAAAATTTAACAAAACTATTAAATATTAAAAAATTAAAAATTAAAATTGTAAGATTCATAAAATGGAAAATTTTCATTAATTTTTAAAATTTTTAGATTTTGTCAAAAAATTTTAAAATTTTTTCATTTTCAATTTCTTTAAAGCTTTTTTTTTTAATTTTATTAAAATTTTAATTTTTTGAATTCTTTAGATTGTTATGAATTCTTTAATTTTTTTATAATTTTTTAAATATTGTTTGAAATCTTTTAGAATTTGTTTTAGAATTTTCTTTTAAAGCTGATGTGGAAATTGATTATGTGGGATTGACTGGACTTTTTTTTTTTATACATTTCAGCATCTTATTGTACGTTATGTCATATCAGTAAATTGATTGATAGCATTAGTTTTAGATATCAGAGTGAATGACAAAATAAAATTTAGAGTACCAAATTAATAATTTTATAATTTTTTAAATATTGTTTGAAATCTTTTAGAATTTGTTTTAGAATTTTCTTTTAAAGCTGATGTGGAAATTGATTATGTGGGATTGATTGGACTTTTTTTTTTATACATTTCAGTATCTTATTGTATGTTATGTCATATCAGCAAGTTGACTGATAATACTAGTTTTAGATATCAAAGTGAATGACAAAACGAAATTTGAATACCAAATTAATAATTTTATTTTTTAAAGTACCAAACTAACAAAAAATATGTAGTATAAGGGTTAATTTTATATTTAACCCTAAATTAAAAATGTCTAATCAAGTATCTAAAGTTATAATTCATCTACCAAGTTACTCAAATCCCTATTATCGATAAAAAATGTTGGTGTGATAGTCAAAAAATGAAAATTTGACACATGTTTAAATTTTATACATGTAGATGACATGATAGTGATGTGATTGTCATAAGCCATATTAAAAAATACAAAGAAAAACAAAAAATTTCAAAATTTTGTAGAATCTCTCAAGTTTTTAGAAATTTTAAAATTTTTTATTTTTTTAAATGCAAAATCATATTTTAAAAAACATATTTTTATGAAAATTTTACTTTTTCATAATTTTGAAAATTTTATTATTTAAAAATAAAATGATTTTGAAAAATAAAAATAAAAATGAAATGAAAATTTTTATTTCTTTTTCATTTTTTTTTTCATTTTTACTTTCTCCCCCTTTTTTCTATTCTGAATCGATTCCCTCTGCCTTTGCCCACCTTGAATCAGATTTAACCATTACCCAATCAAATTTGGCCACCTATAGTTGTAACTAATGTCAAAATGGTCTGATGACCTCTAAAGAGGCAAAAAATGGCTTAAATAGGATGGACATGGATTAAGACCATTTTTGACCTTCTGAAAGGTCTTTCAGCCAATCCGAAGTCGAATCTAGCCTTAGCTTGTTAGATTCGATCAGATAATGACTGAATTCTACTCAATGTAGGAAAGGGTAGAAGGAATGAAAGGAGTAAGAGAAATTTAAAAAAAAAATTATGACAAATGATAGCCACATAATAATCATGTGTTATCCACATGTATAATATTTATACACATGTTAATTTTCATTGATTCATTGCCATGTTATTGATTTTTGTTAATGGAATTAGGGATTAGGATAGATTGATAAACGGATTAAAAGTTGAAATGCTTGATTACAATATTTTTTAATTTAAGTACCATATTATATATTTCTAATAGCTAAGGCATTATATAAGTCATTACATGAAAATAAAAACTAAAGGTTGATTAGGATTTAGGGTTTGTTTGGACACAATTGAACCTTCGATGGGGTTGTTGCTATCTTTTTATGTGCTTATCAATTGCTTGAGACCAAATGGATCTTTTTTTTTTTTTTTGTTCGTAGGAAGGCAAAGCCCTTTCGGAAGGGGGATGGAAAGATTAGAACCCATGTCCACATGCTTTCTTCAAAGCCTCTTAACTGTTAGGTCAAATGGTGGAAGATGACCCAAATGGATCTTTGACACAATGCAATAGGTGACGATTGTCATTGAACTTTTTTAGTTTAGCAGTTGATTGCATCATTATTATTATTTTTTATTTTTCTCCGTAAGTTTTAATGTTAACTCAAAAATGTCTTTAAACTCAACTTAGAGATGCCTTTAAACTTTTTTTTTGTTTTGATTTATTATTATATAATAAATTAATAAATATATTTTATTATATAATAAATAAATTTTATTTTAATTATTAATTTTTAATAATTGATTAATTTTAATATTATTTGATATAAAAATAATCTAATAAAATTTAATTATATATTAATTTTATAAATGTTAAATCATTTAAAATTTTTGTTATATATAATTTTTATTCTAATGCCTTGAATAATTTTTTTTAATTATAATTCACTTCATTGTCATTGCTGCTTCTCATCCAAACACATATCTACCACTAATTTTAATTTCATTGTTACAGTAATTCTTATTTTGATCTTTCATAAGGGAGTAGGAAAGCAAGTGTTAATGTGATAAGGTTGAATGGTGAGGCAGTATCAAAGAGTGATCATTTTCGATATTTTGGATTAACTATTGATGTTGAGATAGAGAGGGAAGTAAATAATAGGATTCAAGCAAGATAGATAAGGTGATGAATTGCGTCGAATGTTTTGTGTAATTACAATATACCTTTAAAGTTAAAAGCAAAGTTGTATAAAATAACTATAAGAATTTTATTATTATATTGGATTGTGTGTTAGGTCGTTTAAGAAACAACATGAGAAAAAAATGAGTATAACTGATATGAGTATACTTAGATAGATATGTGATAAGGCTAGAAGAAACAAAATAAAAATAAAATGTTTGAGAAAAATTAGAGGTAGTTTGAATTGAAAAAAAGATGAGAGAGAGTTGTTTGAGATTATTAAGACATGTGAAAGTATAGTCCTATCTATGCATTAATTAGAAAAAATAAGCCTTTGAATTTGAAAGAGGCAAAAACTTAAAAGATTGACCATGAAAAATATGAATGTAAATAATAAAAAATGATACAAAGATTAAAAAAGTAAACAAAAATATTATTTTTTATATAAATGAATGATGCAAAAAAATTCAAAATTAAGATCTAAAATAATTATTTTTTTAACTTTTCATACAATCGACTCTAAAAATATAAAAATATAAACTTAATTTATTATTATTGTATTATTATAATAATTAATCTCATCTCTATTATTATTTTTACTTTTTTCAAAATAAATCTTATTATCTGTCCAATGCATCTTTAAGAGTCATGAAACAACTTGCTCGGTTGGAATGTGCCACAGTTTTCACTCTTCACGTCAATTCCTTCCGAGACGCCAGATTGACAACACTTTGTAATCTATTTTTCGAACTTGATATAGAATTTCCGTAAAATATGTAAAATCTTAAAACTTCAGATCCTAAATTTATTAAAATGAGATCCTAAATTTTGAATTTATTTAAAGTTTAGCTCTTTTAAAGAGGTTTTACCCTGTAAAAATAAAAACGTCCTTTGGAACCACCGAGCCCTTTTAATTTTTAAAGCTCTTCTTTTGCCAAATTACCTTAAATTCGCCGGCCAAAATAGAACGGATCCCTCTTTATGATCGTCAACGAAACAAAAATCAATTTAAAAGCCAACCCTAAATTTCCCCGACTATCAAAAGGAACTTTCTCCCTCAATATCCAACTCAAAACCCTAATGGCTCCCAAATTTTAGGGCAATTTTCAATTCTCTCCCTCTCCCGAACGGCAATACCAATCCAATCGACCCGTTCTTTCTTTCCTATGTCTCGATTCTTCCATCGTTTTCTTCTATCCTTATTTTTCTGTGTTTTAGGGTTAGCGTTTGGCGTTGATTTCGGTCAAGCTTTCAAAGTTCCTTTAAGGGTCAAAGATGTACTGCCGGTGCTTCCGCGCCAGATATCTTGGCCGGTGTTGAACAATCTTCACAGCGCCGTTGACTTGTTGCCGGCTTTTGTTGGATCAGTTAGCCCAAACAATGGGTCAGTTGAATGGAAAGGAGCTTGCTTTTACGCCAACGAGGCTCGATTCGATTTCACCGAAAGTGATCGCAATAGTTCGGAATTGGGCGGTGGAATTCTTCATCTCAGGGTTCGTGTCTTTGTCCTATTGATCACTATGACTGTGGTTATAATTGAAGTTTCTTTTTAACCGTAATTCCAGTTGTTGAGAAGTTATTTACTTATTTTAATGTGATTTATTGTCTGTTTATTGATGGCATTTGAGTTCAATTACATTTCTTTTTCATTTGCTTTAGAGTGTCAAATAAATGACTATCTTTTTTCTTCCTAGTTTTGCAATACTTTCTATGGGTTATTGAATTTATTTAAGGTTATTCATTTATGTTTAGTAGACTATGGTTATTGGTGTTTTAATAAGTTTTAGCAGCTTTAAGTAGTTTATAAACTTGAAATCCTTGTATTTTCCTTAGTAGTCTCGAAAGTAAGTGTGATTGTTTTACATGCTATGGTAAATTTTGGAGTGTTGATTTTCGTTTTTAACTATAAAATTTTTCTTTTACAGACATCTGAAGCTCACAGCTGGACCTGTATGGATCTTTATGTTTTTGCGACTCCTTACAGGATTACTTGGGATTACTACTTTTCTGCTCGAGAGCACATGTTGAAATTTGATTCTTGGGAAGAAACCGCAGAGTTGGAATATGTATGTTTTGGGTAATTTTGTCCCCTTGAATATCATTGCTAACATGTATAATGCATGAAAATGACATTCTGATTCACAATTGAGCAGGTAAAGCAGCACGGAATCTCTGTATTTCTAATGCCATCAGGAATGCTTGGCACATTGCTTTCTTTAGTAGATGTATTGCCTCTATTTTCTAATACTATCTGGGGTCAGAATGCCAACCTTGCTTTTTTGAAAACACACATGGGTGCGTCATTTGAAAAACGTCCTAAGCCATGGAGTGCAACAATAAATCCAGAAGATGTGCATTCTGGTGACTTTTTGGCAGTGTCAAAGATTCGCGGTCGGTGGGGAGGATTTGAGACATTAGAAAAATGGGTGACTGGAGCATTTGCTGGTCATACTGCGGTTTGCTTAAAGGATGATATGGGTAATCTATGGGTCGCTGAATCAGGACATGAAAATGAAAAGGTTTGCTATATATAACTCATTGAACTTTTGGTTTTGACACTTCTAGTTGTAAAGAAAATTTATGAAGCTATGAGAATCAAACATTAAAAATGGGGATTTTAATAGAGATTATGATTGGTATTTTATTGAGATATTTAGGGTGTTTCTTCCTTATGCCATTTGCTTGCATGAATTTTGCAGGGTGAAGAAATTATAGTGGTTATTCCATGGGATGAATGGTGGGAGCTGTCACTGAAGGATAGTTCTAATCCACAGGTAGCCTTGCTTCCTTTACATCCAGATGTACGTGCAAATTTCAACTCCACTGCAGCATGGGACTATGCATGGAGTATGTCAGGCAAGCCATATGGTTATCACAACATGATCTTTAGTTGGATAGACACTGTAGCTGACAACTATCCACCCCCTCTTGATGCTCACTTGGTAGGCATCTTCTCTGATCATTCTGTGCATCCTGAGTATGCTCTGCTGAAGTCGTGTTCAGGATGGAGCAGATTCTTTTACTGGCAAAATATTGAGATACTGAGCTTGCTAAACGAAGATTGTTTCCCAAGTCCTAACTAGCTGATTTTGATTGCAGGTCATTTCTGTCATGTCTATGTGGACTAGAGTGCAGCCTGCATATGCTGCAAATATGTGGAATGAAGCGCTAAATAAGCGGTTAGGGACTGAGGTATTGTGCTTATTTCTCTTTTACTTTTATAAATCTATAATCTTTACTTTATGAGAAATAGGTTTTTTTTTTTTTTTTGCCAAATACTTTACGACAAATAGTTAACTCCTCCTCTTCCTGCTCTCTCTCTCTCTCCAATGAATAATATTGGACTTTCACCTAAGTAGGAGCATGGGGAGATATAGGTTAATTGGATAATCTGTTATGGTGAAGTTGTTTGGATTAGGTGAGAGTTTGTGTGGTTTGATGAATTTATTATTTTGAACTCTACCTAATTTCTTAGGATTTAGATTTATACGGAATTTTGGAGGAGAGTGAAAGGCGTGGCATAGCCTTTGATCAATTACTCACCATCCCGGAACAAGATGACTGGGTATACAGTGATGGGAAGTCAACAACATGTGTTGCCTTTATCCTTGAGATGTATAAAGAGGCTGGGGTCTTTGGTACTATTTCTAACTCAATTCAAGTAACTGAATTCACTGTAAGTATCAATTCTTCAGTTTTCTTTCAAAATTTAATATTGTTGACCTGATCTTATAGGGTATGAAATGATTTTCTATTTTCAGATTCGTGATGCTTACATGCTTAAGATTTTTGAGAACAATCAAACACGCTTGCCAAGTTGGTGCAACAATGAGGATGGCCGGCTTCCGTTCTGTCAGATTCTTGGTGAGTATTGGATGGAATTGCCATATTATAACACCTTAGAGATATATGCCAACATGAATGAAAATTGCCCTTCCTTACCTCCAAGTTATGATAGGCCCACGAGATGTTAAGTTTGATTGCAATCTGTTTGCAGTCTGTGCCCCCACTCATGTTTGTATAACGTCCTTTATTAAATGCAAAGATGCCTTTCCGGAAAATCCTACAACACAATATATGCATTCTAATTACTGCTAGATATACTCAGTTTCTATAAATAGTATAATGAGGAGAACATTTATGTACTAGTTGAGTAAATTATTTCATTGGTGATTGCAAACATCTGATTCTCGAATGGTGCTTTTGGAATTATTGCTAGCGAGCTGAAACTCATAGCACGGGCAAGCTTTTCTTTTTTTTTTTTTTTAAATCACGGTGTTCATTTTGCATGATACATTGTTTAAGATCATTAAAGTGTTCTAGTGGTCGTTTTGGGAGATCTAACCTGGGCTATCATACTGATAAGTACCTGCTCATCTATTAAGCTTAAGAATCGTCATTTATCTTATTTCCCCTAGTATCATTGATTCCGAAATGTAGACTCCTTCGTAGAAGGATTACTATGATCTTCGGACGAGCTGGCCGGGCAAAAGCTGGATCGGCTTTAGACTTGTGTAATTCCAAACCCCTCGTTGGCAATTCCGTTAAATAATGTGAACAATTATACCCAATTCCTGATAAGGAGTGTATTTATAAACTTAAACCTGTATAATGAAGGTTTTTGGCTTTTTCTTATAAGTTTTCTATGTCATAAATCGTTGTCAAAAAAACCAAAGGGTTTTTCTAGCTTTTTGGAGTTGTGCATCAAAGTTTTGATGTATTTGTGCTCTTTGTAAATCACTGTTGAGCATTTAAAAGTGGCTGACAAAGATAAATGGGCAGTTGGTGGCAATTGTTCATGAATTGAAAAAAAAAAATTCGATCTTATATAAAGGGTTGAGATTCAAATGACGTTGTTTAAGGAAAGACTTAAAACGATGTTATTTTAGTTAAAGAGGATGTTATTTTAGTTAAAGAGGATCCGTGTGTAGATTTAGATTTGATTCGAGATTTGTGCAAATTGATTTGTCAATCCGTTTTAGTAAGCTTTTAATCGGTTTAGATGAATTGTTAGTGAACTGGTCGAATTGGTTTGAATCATTGGATCATTCAAACTGTTGATTGAACTATCGAACCGGTTAGATCGATTCAGACTAGTATTGATCGGACAAAAATTTATTAATTATTTTATTAATTTTGAAGAAAAAAAATTATTGTATTGAAATTTTTTATAAATATTCTAATATAATGGTAATATTTAAGAAAAAAATTTTTTACTTAGAGATTTCATAAAATATCATTACTCAAAATATATTTAGAATCTCATTATTAGATAAAATTTTTTTTTTCTTATTTATATTATTAATTTTTAATATATTAATTAATTTTTATTTATTATTTTATAAGAAAAAAATTTTATTATATTGTAAAATTTTTATAAATATTTCAATACACTGATAGTATTAAAAAAAATTTTTAATTAAAAATTTAATAGGTATTACTATTCAAAATACCTCTAAATCTCATTCGATGAAATTTCCTTTTTTCGAAAACCAAACGATATCATTCTGAATTTACTTGCATTACCTGAGGATTTATGAGCGAATTACATTTCACAGTCGCGTATCTCCTCAACTGTCTTGAGCGGCCCATATTTGGAGATGTAAGCCACTCCGGGGAGACCTCTGCTTTTGGAGATCTCATCTCTCTTTTTTACATCTCTCAGTATCCAATCAAATGTCTCAGTTTTTGTTCATTCTTTCACCATTGAAAATCTTCACAATTACATCGACCCTTGTTCGTATGCCCATCTCAGAGATATCTGTTTTTGAGCTGATTAACCAATCTTTCAATTTGCTAAAAAAAAAAACAAGAACAACTTTTTGTGGGGGAAAGAGCACCAGAGCAACAAGTTGCCCTTTTGACTTGGCAATTTCTTTTAGTACCTCACTCCCAGGTACTCTATTGCTGCCCGACGAGGAGTAAAATGTCAAAAAGATCCCCTTGACTGGGTAAAACTCTCTCAGCGTTTGATATTATTTTAAAGATTATTATGATGAACTAATTAGCATGATGATAAAATCATTAGTAATCTTAAATTTTTATGTTTGATATAATATTATAAATATTTAGTACTTTTAAATTGTTGTGTTTGATATTATATGAAAAATTAAATCACATGCTACAAGATATTCAAAATAATTTTGAATAAAAAAAATTTAATACTGATTAAATCAACAGTTTATAAAATAATTAGATATTATTTTATAGAAACTACAAAGTATAAATAAATTTTAATAAAAATAATTTCTAAAAAAATTATTAAATAAATTCATTATTTTTTTAGTCGATATAAATTTATAGTGTAAAATATTTTTTAAGATATATAATTAAAAAATCAATTTTTTAAAATTTTTAGTGACCAACTTTTTAGAATAATGTTAACTATATTTTTCATAAGGGCAAATTAATCAAAAAAAATAGTGAAAATTAATTTTCTATGGGGATAAAATTTTTTCATCTTTTAAATTGAGAATTAAATTACTTTCTTACGTAATGATTTTATCATTTTAATGATTTGAGATTATTGTCATATAAGATTTTTAAATTGCTATCAAATAAAATGATGTTATTACTGAGTATAAATCATTGTAGTTTTTAAATGGGACACCCGTACCAAAGACACTCTTTTAACTTTTTATTTTTTGTTGCCTCAGAGGGATCATTTCCACCGTGCAAAACATTAAAACAATTTCACTATCATTACTCCAAACCAAATTGAGAAGAGAGTGAGGGAGGGCGAGCTGTTACCCGATTATCAAACCGCAGGGATCTTTCCTATGGTGAGGATGTCATTCAGCTTTTTGTAGGAAAATTGCTGACGCCAATGGACTTTGTGAGGCCAAGCCTATGGAAATCTCCTATGGCTGTCCAGACAGAATTGAAATCCATGGGGAGGAAGTTTTCCTCCTTTATTGGGAATTCACAAGTCCCAGGTTCTAAGCTCACGGACCAGTGAATAAGAAAGAGATCAAGGTGCTGCAACTTGAGATTTTTGGAGGAAAAATGTTTTAGACAAGAGTTACATGATGTTCCCTTGGACTGAGTTGGAAAGACTTCATATAATGAGATGGAGGATGTGAAAGTGAGCAATAAAAGAGAACTAAGCAATCTTTCTTTGAAGGCAGGGGAAGGGAAAAATACAACAACTTTGTCATAGGACTTACTATAGAGTGACATAAATGCAATTTTCCATGTCAAATTTGAAAAAAGAAAAGAAAAGAAAATCATGTGGGGATGAAATATTATTTCAAATCAAATTTCTCCGTCCCAAAGTTCCTCAAGTGTCTTGAAAGGACCGTCTTTGGAGATGAAATCTTCTGCCTGGCAGCCTCTGCTTTGTGGGATGTCATCAATCTTTTTCAGCTCATCCTCACTCAATGACCAATTGAATATCTCAAGGTTTTGCTTCATTCTTTCACCGTTGAAGCTCTTCACTACTATACTGACCCCTTGTTCATATGCCCATCTTAGGCATACCTAAATTTGGATTAGCATTTAGTAATAAACTTTTTATGTGTTTTCATTCTCCTAAGATTTCAAAGCAAAGACAATCATGAAACAAAAACAATGCTATTAACTTCTTTTTTTATTGTTTTAAGAAAAAGGCACCTGAGCCACGGTCTTCCCTTTTGCCTTGGCAATTTCTTTCAGCACCTGACACTCCAGAACTCTATTGCTGCCCCAACTGGTTCCTATGGCTCCCAATGGAGAGTAAGCAGACAAAAGGATCCCATTTGAATGGCAAAACTCTCTTAGCTTCTTTTGTTTCCAAAGTGGGTTAAATTCCACCTTCAAAATATTGAAAACAGCTTCACTTACAGTATCACTACTTCGAAGTTCAAAACAAGTTGATGGCTAAGTGTGTGTCAGAGAGAAACGGAGAGTTACCTGATTAACAGCCGGTGGGATCTTTGCTATTGCCAAAATATCAGCCACCTTTTTGCATGTAAAATTGCTAAGACCTATTGATTTTGTGAGTCCAAGCCGCTGGCAATCTTCCATGGCGACCCATACAGAACTGAAATCCATGGGGAACATCAGGTATTCCGTATCTCCTGAGACTCCTTCAATTCCTTTTCTCAAGCTTATAGGCCAATGAATAAGATAGAGATCGAGGTACTCCAACTTCAGATATCTGCAGTTCAAAAGATTTAGACAAGAATTTGCCGTCTTCACATTTACAAAAAAAAAAAAAAAAAAATACAGTATATCCCCATATATCAAAAGAAATATAAGTGGGCCACAAATATTTTACTGTAAGCTTCTCCGAAGACCAGGAAGAACCAGTTCTCCGTAGGCATCGGTGCACCACAACTTGGAAGTGATGAAGAGCTCGTCTCGAGATTTGATTAAGCCAATCGAAATTGCTTCAATGATTGCTTCACCCAGCGGCAGCTCTGTCCCGTACAAAGAAGCTGTATCAAAGTGCCTGTAACCAAGTTTAATCGCTTCAAGAATAGCTAGTTTCGTAAGTAGGTATGATCCTCCAACTGGATCGGATGCCGTTCCCAATCCCACGACCGGCAGTCTCTGGCCATTCCAACTCAAAGCATATTCTGGAAAACTAAAACTAGTTGCCTCCAAACTGCTTCCCATTTTTTCCAGGAACTCAAAATTTTCTTTTCCTTCAATAATGAATCAGAGTGCTAATGCTGACTTTCTCTAATCAATCAGAGTACTAAATCTTTCTGTAAATCATTTTTAAATTTATGATAAGGAATATAATATTAGTATGTTCCTTCATTATTGAAGGAATTGAATTTTAATTTATATATATTTTTGAAACTGAACTTTAATTTATATTTTATATTATGCGTATTTTGTGAAAAGGAATTTGTATTTAAGAAACAAAAATTTTGGACTATACAGCCAGCCAACGAGATCTTGGTTTAATGGTAAGAAAGAGATTCTAAAATCCTGAAGTCTTAAATTTAAATTTTTGGATCTATTTTTAATTATGTTATTGTTTATTGGTTAGTTTGTTTGATTATTTAGGAATTTTTTATATATAAATGTAATATTTGATTATGATAATAATTTATATTTGTAATTTTAAAAATTTTTTTGAACTATACTCTTAATTTTTATTAAAACGTTTTGTTATAGACATTTTAACATCTTAAATTTTTGAAATATTCAAATCATAAGGCAGAGTTTAATAGTTTCAATTTTTATTACAATTAATTTTTAATTTAATTTTTATTTCGATAGTTTATTTTTTAAATATTTTGTAAATTTTAAATAATTACATTCTTACTTTGAATATATCAAATCCCAGCTATAAGTATATAATTTTTGAAAATAAAGTTTTTTTTTTCAAATTTTGTTTCTACATAATAAATTATTTTCATATAAGTGACAATCGATGGGTTTGAGTCACTTTAAAGTTGAATTGTTTTGGATTTTTGATCAATTTAAATCTTAAGTCTTGATGTACTTTAACTCATTTCAAATTCAGATTGATTTGTTTATAAGTCACTTGAGTTTGAGATTGTATTAAATTGTTCACATAATAAATTATATTTCATATAAGTGACAATTGGTGGGTTTCAGTTACTTTGAAAGTCGAATTACTTTGGGGTTTTGGTCAATTTGGTCAATTTAAATCACAAGTCTTGATGTTTACATTAAGGGGCGTTTGGTTTGTAAAATTATAGATTCAGAGAAAAAGTGTGATCCTCGAAAAAATACAATATCCGAAGTTTTTTTTCATTTTCAAAGCATCCTATTTTCAGATTTACTTGATTGGTTGAGAGAATTTATATATATTAAATCTTGAATAATTATTATAATCTCTTTGGAATAATAATTATAATCTTTGATTTTTAAGAGGAAATTATTGAAGGTGTTTTTGGCAAAAAATGATTTTAATAATTCCTTTCTATTTTTATGAGGAGATTATTGAAGTATTTTTAGCCAAAACCCAGTGGTGGGATTATTCAATGGGTTTTCTAGGCAAAAACGCCTTGAATAATCCAAAAAAAAAAATTCAGTGATTATTCAAGGTGTTCTTCACCAAAAACACTTTAAATAACCTCCTCTAAATGGGATTATTCAATGTATTTTTTCTCAACAAATGCCTTGAATAATCTTTTACAACAAATTTAATAGGATTACTCAAGGCCTTTTTTTTTTTAAAACGTCTTGAGTGATCATTTTCTTGAACTTTGAACTTTGAAAACCCAAATTGCTAATACAGTGAACGATAGACCCAAAGTTACATTGCAACCAACCCCTAAACCATCAACCCATTTAGTTTGCATTTTGGTTTATTCATCTCTCTCGTCGCCACTGACCATCAACACCTCATCATCATCACAACTCTATTTTTATCGATATATGCGTATTTTATCTGTTGTATTATTTATATTTTTCGATATAGGTATGTTTTTTATTCATTCCTTAATATATATATATATAAATTTTTGTTTGTTTTTTATTCATTCCACCGTCAACTTAGTCACCCAACCTCCCTTCATTGCATGTATGATGTTTTTTTTAGTTTGGTTTAAATATTGTGGTTTGTTTAATGGTGTTGTGAAAATTTTGTGTATATTTTTTGCTCATCATTTGTTTTGCACGGAACTCTTATTTAAGGTAAGATTCACAGTATGACTTGTGCTTGTAAAATATTATTGGTTTGAGGATGTTTTATGTATATTGGTTTAGTAAATATAGTATGATATTGGTTATATTTTATTATTGTATGAAATTTAGAGAGACAGTTTGGTGTATTTTGTATAATTATGATCAAAATTGTAGGTATTATGCAATCAGAAGAACATATGTTTCCTGCTATTAAACATGAAGAAGACACACCTATAGTGAAAAAAAAAAAAAGCAAAGGATGAAATAAACAAATTCAAGTGACTGACATAAAAATTCACGTTGACTTAAATCAAAGTGAGCAATCTATATCTAATGGAGTTGCCAAGTTGGCTAGTCACATTGGGGTGATCATTTGTAGTAGCATTTTTATTTTGTAACATAATTGGCGATGAGTTCCTAATGATCTAAAGGATCATATATGGGAGTCTGTTGTGGTATGTTTATTCAACTATTTCATAAAATTTATTAAATGATCATTTAATGGAAATTTAATGTGTTCATACTAATTGTTTAAACTTATTAGGAATGGTTTGATGTTCCAAATGAGTATAAAAATCTTATATTGCAATCATTTAGGAAAGCAGTTGGAGACTTTAAAAACAAATTGACAACTTAATATATTTTATCGTTTGCTGATAATAGTGATATGTTTGCTGATCCTCTTCCATCATATGCAGATGTTATCAGTTATCAAGATTGGACCCATTTTGTTCGAGATAGGCTATCAAAAAAATTCTTAGTATGTATACCCATTATGTTAATTGTTTATAAGATTTTATGTAATATATTTGATATCTTAATATGTGATTTAACTTATTTCTTTTTTTTTCTAAAAAATCAAAGAACAACAAAAGAATATTTAGGCCAAACAAGTATATCACCATCGGACATCGAGAAAATGGTTATGCAAATGTCAAGTATTATCTTATAAGTATTCACAATGTTTTATACTCATAAATGAATATTTATGAACATTCGTTTAATAGATTTTGGTTCTTATATATCAACCCTTTTATTAGGAATCATCTAGCTCTGGCATTGAAGTTTCTAGATAGGATGTGTGGAAATAAAGACATATGTGAAAGGATGGATCGTTTGCAGATGAAGCAACATTAGAAATAGCTAAAAAGATTGTATGTATAATTGTTCATTTTATCATGTATGATTAGCTATAAACTTGTATACATGACTATATACTTGTATAACTTTGTTGTTACGCCTTATCTTGTTATTGTCTTTCAAGATGATTATGCTAATAATCCGGTGAACTCCTAACTAGTTATGGTGAAGATCCCTTATCTTTAGCATTAGGAGTAAAAGAAAGCCACGGTCGAGTTCATGGGGTTGGTAGATTTGTGTTGCGATCAAAGTTTTTCAATAATCAACCCAAAACCCCTCCAATGTTGAAGCAATCATTCAGCAACAATAGCAAAGCTTTGATGACCAAGAGCAATGCTTGAATGATCAAATCAATGACTCACAACTTTAAAGGCGATGTAGACTAACATGCTTGGATGGCAATTGGATAGCAACATCTAGTAAGGACAAGCTTTTGTTTCAAGTTAGTTAGCAAATTTCTCCACCTATATCAACCATGGAGTATGATTTTATTTATTCACTTAATAGTTATTTGTATATTATATTTACTAATTTCGTTTTAATATTTATATTTCATTATATATTGCAGCAGGATGTTGGGACTCATAGAATGACCTTTGCTGAGGCTTCCATTGATGCGTTATTTAATTATGCACTTGATCATTTATTTGGAGGAAACCTCATTACTGTTAAGTTCGAGGATGGGTTATTTGATCACCCATCAGTTTTTTATATTGGGAGTTCTAAGATTAAGGCATTTTGTACCCTGAATGAAATATCAGCTGCTAATATTATTACCTATATGATGTTAGATTACAAATTTAAATATGCAAAGTCAATATGTATTAATCAATATTAGGGTATATTACTAACTAGTAATGTTGATTGTTATTATGTAGTTTTCTATATAAAGAGAGATCAAGGCAAGATAAATGACCCGTATATTCAAATTCGTTGACCTGAATTTGATTAGTGAGCAGAATGGCACTGTTGTTATTCATGGTCGTCATAGGGGTTAATGCATGCAAAAACGGATCGATTATTTTTTGGTGCCATATAATGCTACGTAGGTTATATTCATACAACTTCAATATATTGACCTCACCTAAATATGAGATGATGCCTAATTTGAGTATATCATTCTTATTATTTGGTAATTGTCATTAGTAGCTTATCATAATTGATACCAATTCTTTTATGCCATACTTATTTAACTCTACTCAACCAATGGCGAAGCTTAACCCCGATATTCATAATTTTATAAAGAGGTATTGCATGTGATTATATTATATTGTGTTTCTTTATAATTACTTTTATTTTTGTATTAACAACTTTTTTTGTTCAATTTTGGGGAATGTCTGCAGTTGATAAGAAAGCAAAGATAAAATGGGTGTCATTAGTAGTAAATGTGAAATTTATTCTTTTATGCTGAATTTGTTTAGATAAATGTTTCTTAAACCCACTTTATTTTTAAGTACCTAGTTAACCAGGATATACTGAATGTAGATATTATGTCTTTCATTTTATAAGGGAGATAGTTTTATATGATTTTATGACTAGACCATTCAAGGTTAGTATTAATTCCATACAATACTAATATCTTTCAATAAAAAAAGCTAAATTATATTATCATTTATTAACATTTACTTCTAATTTTTTTTATAGTGTAAGAGTAAAAGAAACTTCACAAAAGACAAACTTGATAAAGAGCGTAAAGAGTGGTTTGATTATGTATTATCATTCGCTACATCTTAAGGTTGGAGAATGTTGGTTGGGTGTAAATATATACATTTCATTATTTATAATATTTTTAACATGCCATGTTGAATGGATAATTTTTAATTTTGAATTAGAGTATTGGTATAATGTTATTGGTATATATTTGTTTATATCAATTGGCAGCTTATATGAATACACATATATTAAGTATGATTATTTGAAAAAAATAGTTTTTATATGGCAACATTATTAGTTATAAATTCATATGTGTAGCGTAATATTG